AGCTAAATTTAGTGACTTGCTAACTTCTTTTTGATATGTTTTTATAATTTCATTGTATTATGACACTTGGTTTCAAATTTGCATGAGTAAATGAGCCTCTCACTAAGTCAGGTAAAAAGATTTTTCACTTATCTACCATGAAATAAGGTGTTTAAAAAAATAGTAAGATTAGAGAGTGATGCATGTTTGACACATTTATATTTTTCAGCTGCGTTGACTGAACATTTCTAAGCATTAATGATACAATAAATCTATTTGTACTACATTTAATGGGCTAAATAATTTAACATTACAAATAATTTTATAATTAGCTTGCTATTTTGTTTAGGAACAATATTTTTTTTTAAATTCAGATTTACCTTTAATTTAAATACAAACCCTGAATCTCTTGGTGTGGTAATTCAGTGACTCAAATCTCAAAGATTACATAGATTCATAGATGTTAGGGTCGGAAGGGACCTCAATAGATCATCGAGTCCGACCCCCTGCATGAAGAAGTTCTTCCTAATGTCCCGTCTAAATCTGCTCTCTGCTAGCTTGTGGCCATTATTTCTTGTTACCCCCAGGGCCACGTTGGTGAATAAATACTCACCAATTCCCTTCTGTGCCCCTGTGATGAACTTATTGGCAGCCACAAGGTCGCCTCTCAACCTTCTCTTGCGGAGTCTGAAAAGGTCCAGTTTCTCTAGTCTCTCCTCATAGGGCTTGGTCTGCAGGCCCTTAACCATACGAGTGGCCCTTCTCTGGACCCTTTCCAGGTTATCCGCATCCCTCTTGAATTGCAGCGCCCAGAATTGCACGCAGTACTCCAACTGCGGTCTGACCAGCGCCCGATAGAGGGGAAGTATCACCTCCTTGGATGTATTCGTCATGCATCTGCTGATGCACGATAAAGTGCCATTGGCTTTTCTGATGGCTTCGTCACACTGCCGACTCATGTTCATCTTGGAGTCCACTAGGACTCCAAGATCCCTTTCCACTTCCGTGCCACCCAGCAGGTCATTCCCTAGGCTGTAGGTGTGCTGGACATTTTTCCTCCCTAGGTGCAGCACTTTGCATTTCTCCTTGTTGAACTGCATTCTATTGTTTTCTGCCCACTTGTCCAACCTGTCCAGGTCTGCTTGTAGCTGTTCCCTGCCCTCCGTCGTGTCCACTTCTCCCCATAGCTTTGTGTCATCTGCAAACTTGGACAGAGTACATTTCACTCCCTCGTCCAAGTCGCTGATGAAGACATTAAAGAGTATCGGTCCAAGGACCGAGCCCTGCGGGACCCCACTGCCCACACCCTTCCAGGTCGAAGCCGACCCATCCAGTTCCTTTTCAAACAATAAAAATTAGTAGTTACACTTAATATTAAAGAGCAACTTTCCAGAGGAGGACTCTAATTGTTTATTTAGATAAGATTACTACAGTAAGCTAAATAATGTTGATTGATCAGTAAACCATTTACACTTAATCACCATACAGTACGTATTTACTCCCATGTAATATCACATCTGTTAATACGTTTCATTTTCAATTTCTGTTTTATTAACATACAATCACGGTTCATTCCATACCGACCAGGGCTGGGATTGGGTTTGACGTGGTAACTTGCAGGTGAATATCCTTATTTCTGATTACCCAGTTCCCTGGCTCTGCTAGTTTCTTTTGACGTCACTATTTTTCATCTCTGTTTGTTATTGATTTTTTTTATGCTGTGTCATTAGTAGTGACAGATGCTTTTAATTAAAAAAAAAAACACAAGAGGAGAGCATTCTAATTTGGCATGACATTATGAGACAGAAGGGCTCCTGGCATGTGAGGTACATAAAAGGTCATCTTCCATTGCTACAGCCTTTTGGAATGGTGGAATTAAGTTCAAACTTGGGATGTTTTTGAAGTCTTAAATCTCTCTGGGGATGCCTTTCATAACATCTTCGAACTGGATAACACTACAGTAAATGAAATACACTGCACTGGATTAAAGGGTTATTTCCCTTGTGTGTCAAGCTGACATAGAATACTAAACCTCAGGTTGCTCCGAAGTCATCTCTATCTGCTGATACCCCCTCTCCTTTACATAACAGCTTGCAGAGCTTTTGCATGGAAGTTTGTGATTATTTATTCAGCTTCACTGCTTTGTGAATGTGGAACAATTTTATGCAGCAAGGAACCAAAATAAAGCAACTAAATGGGAGAAATCTAATGGGCTTAAAAATGTGAAAGAACTGATGCAGGGAAGAGCAGAGCTGCCTCTTCAGTTCCATTATGCTGCTCTATAATTTATACTGAAATACAAAATATAGATCTGTCTGCATTGCCACTCATATGTTTAGCAGCGCAGAGCTTGTGCTAACAACTGGGTATGATATATGCTCCTGTGGTCTTATCTGACTGTAGCAACAGTTACAATTGGTTAAGGGCCATTGCAGTGTGTTTTGTTGTAGAACAAATGTTCATTTTGACTTTGAACTTGGTATGCGCGTAGCCTGCGCAGATTGTATTTAGCATGGGGCAACCAAATCGGAACCATCTGTGCAGTGTTGGAGCCCTGCCAGGGATCACCATGGCTGAGCCCCAGAACAAGTATCTGTTTTCTCGACGTGGGGAGGAAGGAACTGGGAAAGTTAAAAAAGATGTGCCACTTCAAATGTTGGCCAGGAAACCTGAATCAGCAACTCTTGTTTCATCTATCATGTGCTGAAGCCTATTGCTCTGCGAAGTTGAGTGAGATCCCATGTTGGCAGGTTAAGTTAAGCAGAAATAGGACCTCTGAGTTCAAAAAGCCAAACTCCAGTACAGCATCTTTCAACTCTTTCTGAATGCTTATAAATCCCCTTCACTGCCTTCCTCCCAGGTACTTAGCACTCTGAATAACTTAAAGAACTTTAAGGGTAGGCTGAAATATGAGTTGGGGAGTCTATACAAGGCTAACTCTAAGCTCAGTAAATTTCTGACAGGTAAAAATGAACTCTTTCTTCCCCTTTTCTTACTGGATCCAAGTTAAGCTGGAGTTATACTGTTAGAAAGCTGAGAGTGTCCTTGAACAAAGGGGCATGGACATGATAAAGTGCGTATTCTGTGCTCTTGGCAGGCTTTGGCATAAACAGTATGGCACTGTACATAAGCATACAGACCCGGCGAGTATGTTTCTACCTGGCATGCTTATCATGCATTTCTCTGTAGCTCAGCCCTGTCTTCATAGTTCTTACTGTCTGGATACAGTTACTAATATAAATTCCCAAACTTGTTGTAATTTCACCTTGTTCTGTAATGAGCTGCTGGTGCTTGGTGTTGATGGCTGTTGGGACTCTGACTCTCAAGGCTCTTTCCTCCCCCTGCCCTTGATAGACATGCTATAATAAGGTTACGAAGATGGAAGGTGCAGCAGACCTCTGGGAAACACTGTCAGGCATTCAGACTTTTCCTGGGGGAGGTGATAGCAAAGGCCCAGAACCAGACCTGGGGATGTCAGGTTTATTTTAGCTGGCTCTTCTTTTCAAGCAGGAGTACACATGGCTAAACCTGTGCAGCTGTCCCTGCCTGGAGGCCCCTCAGCCTTCTGAAAAGGCCAACAGCACCTGCTATTCCACTCAAATAACAAAGGTAGCAACAGCAACAACAAAAAGCTCTTCCAATTTACCTTAAAGGACTTTTTTTGTATCCTTTCTTTGCAGAGTGGTACTGTGATAAAATAGTCCTTTCATAATGGGCCATATATGTTGGATTGCGGCTAAGGTCATAAAAGAACCATCCAAAATACCAGCTTGTAACAGATGTTTTCTTGCTTGTGGCTGCTGTAAAAAAACAAGTGGGAGAATTTGTCTTTGAAATGCTATTTTGATGAGCATGGGAAGTTAGACTACAGATTTGAGACTTGAAGGTTATGACTTTGACTGTAGCCTACAGGAATTAGGCACACAAATCCCACTGAAATCCAATGAGATTTGAGCTTCTCACTCACTTAGGCTTCTTTGAGAAATTCCAGCTTTAAATATTTTTGAAAACTAACAGTGCAGGTGAGAAGTACTGGATGGGCAGGAAACTGAAATTAATTCAGGTGCAAGCTAATCTGGTCCAGAAAGCAGCAGTGCAAATGTCCCTGCATCTTGGCAGTGTGCTCTCATTGAGAACTCTCTCTCAGTGGACTGTACCATAGCCAGTCTTCTGTGTACTGTTATTAAGAAACCCAAATGCTAGGAATAGGACAGAAAGCACTAAGGCCTTTCACATGCAGCAGTGAACAGTCACATGGCTACATCACAGCCGCCCTGAGTAGACTCAGATCAGCAACCCAGATGTGAAAGTTTCTGCAGCCTATTGCCACTGCCCTGGGACACCCAGCTTCCAAGCGTCAGTGCTGTAAATTACAGGAGTTAGATGAATCTTTGGGGAGAATGAGGTTGCAGGCATGTTGTTAACTGAGTATTTGGTTTCAAGTCAGACCATTTAGTAGTTGATGTACTTTTTACCAGTGCTGTGTGTGCTTTCTATTTCAGATGTATCCTTCTGCTCATATGGTCTATTCCTCCATCATGTCCAATCATCTTAGCAGCCTCCTTGGCCCCCTCCTACACATCAACCCTCACTTAGGATTCCGGGTCCTGACTGTTCATATAAAACAGCAAGTACCTAAATATAGTCTTTAAACCTCTGGGAGCAGTTCTTGTCAGACCACACCTGGTGGCTTCGTGCTTATCGTGCTTATCTTTTTTTGTTTTGTGGGTTAACTTAAAGCCATAAATGAGGCCCCTCTCAAGTGAAACCTAGAATGAGCTGCAATCTGGCTACAAGTTGAATGCTAGGAGTGTCTTTATGGAAACACCTAGGGACAGAGCATAGTTTGAATGAGCAGCATTTTCCTGGAATATTTTTAAAAGAGACATCTCTTCAGGCATCAGGTTCATCTGTTTTCCGACTATATTCACATATAAACACCCACACACATTAACAATGTGGGAAATAATAGCTTTAGTTTTCTGTTGTCCATGAGTAATTCATATTACTTACTTTTTTAGGTTTACCTTTTATCTAACAATTTGGAAGCAGGAGGAAGGCAGGCGAATCTGGAAAGGATTCTGAGCTGGTTTGCAGGATCCTTGAATGGATAGTGGGTGTGTTCACGCCCTCAATCCCTCTGCCTGCACAAGAGATATATAATGTCTGAAATTCAGGTATTATTTTTAAATAACAAAAGTTATATTTTGTACTGAGTCAATATTACTGCTAATAGTAACATTTCTACTCATGGGCATTGGGTACCATAGCAGTGGGCCATAGCAGGTAGGGGCCTGGGTATGGAGTCAGGAGCTCAGGGTTTTATTTCCAACTCTGTCAATTAGCCTTTGTTCTTCTGTCATCCTTTAGTATCTCCAGTCTGTCAAATGGGAATGGGAAGGTCACCAGGTTTGTGAAGCAGTTTACATGTCAGAAAAGTGCTATTTAAGCAATATATATGGTGCTCATTGTTGTGAGCATTATTAAATATTTTTGTTTATATAGTGCTGTTCAGAATATGGTGCTTTAGAGAGCAAACAAGATCAGTTCCTCCCTCTAGAATTTTACTACCAAAATTAGCATGTTCTGAAAACTTCTAAGACTTGGTTATCTTTTTTCTTTTTTTTTTTGCTCTGTAAGAACTGAGGTGAGTGGTGTGTGTGTGTGTGTGAGAGAGAGTTAATAATTAGATAGAAAAGTTTGGACAGTTTTAAACGTAACAGTAATACTGTAATTTTCTGGTTTTTGTCTCTGTTCTTTTAATCACCTAAAAATAAAGTTATTAAGATTTAAAACTGTAGTAGTAAAATTCAGTGCGATTGCTAGGGACAAATAGAAGGAAATAGCTCAAGACAGACACTTCACCTGGTTAGCAGATTACCTTAAGAGCGCATGTGTGAGCCAAGTGTGAAGTTGACAGAGAAGAGGTGTAAAAATAAATCTGATACTGTACATCAAACAGTGGCACACGGTATTCAAGGTACCAAACTCCTCACACGCATTGTATACCAGCCACGTACCCTGCGGTTTGTTGTTGTAGCTTTGTTTTGTGTGAGTATATGTGTAAATGGATGCATGGGTCTGTGTGTGTTAGGGAAGAAATTGCTTATAAGAAACTATGCAGTTACAGCAGATGGCATGAAATGATACCGTTGCTTTGGGGGGTATGTGCTAAGCCCCAAATTTCATCTATAGTTAATCTCTCTCCACGATAACTCAGGCTTTTGTTGCAGTAGGGATTGGATGAATGTTGGCATATGCTGTCTGTTGACACTGCAGTGGAGTGTGGAAGGACCTCTTGCCTATTTGTGCAGGGTTTTTGGGAGAGCTGAAGATTCCAGGATTTTGTATCATTTTGCCTGATCTGAGTAGTTCTCTATACCTATTCTGGCTTAGTTAATACAGCTTATAAAAGCAATTTTAAATGAGATGGACTTGGATTTTGCCCTAATAAAGTATTCCCTTCCCAGCAATTCTTTTTGCTCATCTTGATTCCTGAAACACTTAATTTTCCTCTTGCTGTCTTAGTACTGGCCCCATTGCCACACTGTGAAGCAAACCTGCAACTGGTTTCTTCTGTCACTCCTGTTACTCCATATGTTATTCATTGTTGAAGACAAGCATTTCCAAATGCTGGCACATGTCTCTACAGACCTCTTGAGCATATATTGACAACAACTTACAGAAGCAGGACATTGGCTGCCATGGTTCTCCTGCTTTACCTGTGCCAGGTTATGGTGTTAAGTCTATGTTGTGTCAGGGTTGATGGTAGTCTTATGTAGAGCTTAGATTATGGTTTGTATGAGATGGTTTGGATAGGGCTGATCTTGCCTTAGGCAGGGGTTTGGATTAGATGACCTATGGAAGTGCCTTCCAGTCCTGCTTCTCTGTGACCTGCTTAGATAGAGTAAGTTCTGAGGGTGAGCCCAATTTAACAAAGGTCCCAGTGCATTGGGTGGCATCCTGTGAATTAGAAGCAGAACCATTCTTTGCTACTGTTTCTGCTGGCATTTAAAGAACTGTCTCTCCTTCCCCACACCGTCGTGTTTTGTTCTACAAATTTCTCTATACCATTGACAGCTGCATTCTCCTTGGTGTTTCAGATATTTGTATGTGTGTGAAAAAACAGCAGGGAGCATTTATGTAGGTGTCACTAATTTAATTTGATCGGATATGTCTGTATATGAAAGAATATTCCCCACTAAATTGTTTCTCTTTACTTTACAGTCTCCTTTATCATCAAGTGCAAATCTTTCTACTCTTCACCTACCCAAAGACCAAATTTGGAAAATATAACCCAAAGGGAGGCCCACATCTCACACACAGCAGAGACAGCGGAATGGTGTTGGAATATTTAAGGGTAAGTAACATTTTCTATCCTTTTTTCCCCCTCCATCCTTACCTTCCCTTGTTTGAACTTGAGTGTTGAAGTCTAACTTTTTGATGCTGCCTGTTGAGCAATACAAGATGAGCCATGGGACATAGCTTATTATTAGAGCTAATATACAGGAATGAATGAAAACAGCTATTGTGAACGGAAGCACAGTTATGTGTTTTATTTGGATGGCATACATTTGCCTGAATTAAGGGAACTCTGCAATGAAGGAGGGGTTTTGAACATTCTCATGGTGCACAGTTCTGTTTTTTTCTTCTCATTCACTTCTGATTCATCTTGGACATGGGAAAGGGATAACTTTTGTCAACGTTATTTTATTTGTATTACACTGAATGCTGTGGCCCCCTATTGCATTCTAAAATCAGAGGTTCACAGGGTTGGAAGGGATCTTAAAGGTCATCTGGTCTGTCTTCTCTGTTTGGTTTTGGTAAATTTATCAAGAGGGAAACACAGTCCTTGGATGGTTTCTCAGTCCTTCGTTGAGAGATTAGTACATCCTAATAACAATTGGATTACTGGGTTTTCCAGAATGCTTCCATAGGCAAGCATTTGGTGGAGAATGGAAGAGAAACCAGCCTACAATATGTAGCAGATCAGTTTACCATCTAACAGGAAATGTATAATTTAGCCCTTAATGAACTGCCTGCTGAGCTCTCCCTTCCCTGGGGGAGGGATAAGGTAGAATAATTGACAAACCTAGCATTTGTTAGATGAAATAAAGACCAAGGATTAGTGTCTCTAAATGTTAGGAAACAACATTTTGAGGGTGGGCCAAGGTGTGTTGCTTGTGTGTATCCCTACTTTCACAGACAATAGTTTACAGGAAAGTGGGATGCACAGTTGCTCACATTTGAAAACGTGGCTATTTGTGTTTGGGTTTCATGCTTTATTGCTGCTATTTTTGTAATGCGTGTTCATGCAATATTCATAACTTTGAGGGCATCTCAAATCCCTGCTTCTGAGTCAAAAAGGGAAAATATGAAACTGAAAGGAGAGATCATATCATTTAAGAAACGCAATTCATGAATTAATCCTCGTCTGCTGTGCCATCTGTGGCATGAATCTCAATACAAAAATCTTGTTTTTATATCTCTTTAAAGAGCTGTGTTCTTACTGGCTGCCTGAGTTTTCTGTGATGGTCATAGGAAATCAGCTTTTTTTTAGTTGTTTTTATTTCTACACCCAGTAAGCTATGTGAACAAAGGCAAGGGTGCATAGAAAACATGTGGGTAAGCGGGCCCCCATTTTGTAATGCAATTAGTGCCAGGGTATGTTGTGAGACTAACTTCCAGACAAAGCGAGGAAGTGATTGCCTTTTGGGCTGAAGTCTGTTCAGCTCTTTCTGCAGTCTCTATATTACTGGTGCAAATAATTGTGGGCATGGGTGATGGTCTGTGGACAACTACCTGATTTTTAGATTCAGTCAGCTAGTCTGATGTGTTAGTCACTTTGTTGGGAATGCCAGGTTAATGGCTGTCTCAAATCAGTGGCTTTTTACAGTATCTGATGAGTCCAACTCCTTGGATCCTGTGGCTGGGTTGTTCCTCTTGTACATTTCTTAGTGCTTTGTCCAATCTTGTATAAAATAGCCAGAGTGACACTTTCTGAGAGAGCTATTGTGGTGTGTGTGCGTGTGGCTAGGATAGGATTATCTCGTTTTCTAGATATCCTGTCCGAGTCCTATCCTCTGAACTCTCTCCTCTGTGGTACTGAACTTTTGTGTTACTTCCCAGCCTCTCACAGGTAATGTTTTTGCTTTTGTGTATGTGATTTTTGTTTTTTTTTTTTTTTCAGGTTTCCATTCATAAATTACTCCAGTACGTATCATTTACTGAGGCAGCTATATGCCTCCTTACTCTCATTTCCTGCATTTTGCAACTATGGCCCCTGCTCAGGAAAGCATCTAGCCATGTTTGTGACTGTCCTTCTGAATGGGCATGCTTTCCTGAATGCTTTCCTCTGTTTCTGCCTCTCTCATTCTCTTTTCTTTGGGGGAAGCCAGTAAAAGCTTGGACATATTCTTCTTGGCTCTCTAGGAAGCTCTGTGATAGCTGCAGGGAAATTTCAGGTTCCTAAGAAGCCCCAAGCAACCCTGGTGTTAGCTATCCCCTATATGCTTCATCATAGTTTCAGCACAGTGGTGGAAGTGCATCCACTTTGCTGTTTCTCTTCACTGATGATGTCACTAATGTACTGTAACTACAGCGCCAATGAGATACAAGACATGGATAACACTGATAGATTGAGGTTATCCAGGAACTCAGCATGGAGGGTGAAATATTGCAGGCTTATTGCCTTTCCATTCATTTTGTTCTCACGCCTTTCTGCCTGGCTGACTCATTGCCATTCAGCCTCTGCTTGCAATTTCTGTCTGCCGCAGTAACGCCCATTGGACAGTGTTTGGAAAGCACTGATGACTGTGACCAGGTCACTTGGCTTTTCAATACCCAAGCACTGATAGCCATCATAGGAAAGGACTGCTGTTCCAAAAAAATACAACATTAGAAGTGCCATTTGCAAAAGCACAAAGAAGAACCACAGTTTTTAAAATGAACTGTAAGCTGAAGAAATATACATTGTGTAGTGCCCTGAGGGCAGCCAGACTCCAGAACTGATACGAGTTCTCTCTACTGACAAAGCCTTACTGCAGCTACAGAGCGCCCAAGCATAGGCTCTGGCAGCAAGAATCTCCCAGCTGATGCTAGCTACCATGACAGAGTGAATGCTAAGAGAGGGATAAAAGCAAGGTTATTCAAATATATTGTTATTTATTTAACAATCAGGAGCCAGGCCATTTTAGGGGCTAAAGGTTGTGCTTAAGAACTGGTTTTCCTTCCTCCTTTGTCTAATGCACTGAAAAAAGCAAACTGTCATGGCCATGCGTGGAATCCAGGAATAAGCAGCCAGCTTAACTAATAGCGTTAATAGCTTCTCATCAGACTCCAGGAGTTGAGTGCCCACCAGAATAGACCCTGTCCTTACTGGCAGATTTAATGCTGCAATAAATGACTGGATGTAAAAGAAAAAAAATTACCAAGGGTGAGACCTCAAGTTTTGATGCAGAACCAAATTAAAGACTAAATTACACACCAGCTAATTGGGTATAGTTGCAGGAATGTGGATCAAAGTCAATAAGCTACCTATTTTTTTCTCTCTCATTCTCACAAACATTCAAGTTTATACTTTCACAACCTTTCTTAGTAACACTGGCCCGTTTATTTGATATCTTTATAATACTTTGTAACTGTCTTTGAAATCAACTCTTAATTGCTTCATTGATTTTTTTTTTTTTTAATCTCTACATTTATGCATGATTGTTTTTGTTCTTCTTAAGGTTTGTGAAATGCAAACAGTTCTGTCTGAATCTGTTTTTGATATACCCTGTAAATTTCCAGCTTTCTGATACATACATCGTCTCTCAGCCATGTGGGGATGGGCTCAATCCCATGGCATGAGCACTTGCCACTTCACAGGCAAGATTTTTTTTCTTGAAATGAAGATCGCTGACTTTTTAGTTTGAGGTAGGTCTCACACTTGCATACCAGGGGTGAGATCTTGCAGAATGAGTCTGAATGCAAAACACTTGTAAACCACCAGAAAAGGTGTCATTTAAATAAATAAATAAATAAAACAATGAAAGGTTAAAAAAATAACCTGACTGAAACAAAGAAATCAAAGCGCTTAAAAACATTTTGACAGACTATGTTGCTTCATCCAGAGCTTGAAACAAAAATCATTTTGTTTTTAAGTTCTGATGAAAATTCAACAGCTGTTTATAAAAGAAGAAATGTTTACACTGAAAGCACAGTTTAGGGCCTTATTTTCACAGGAATGTACATTTATAAGTGAGGGGGCTCCTTCGTGCATACCAGTGGAACACTCCTCTGGCTTACACACTGTTTCTTTTAAGGTCTCTCCAGATTAGCAAGGGCCTCTGATTGTTACGTTGTAAGTGACTGCTGCCTCCCAAGCAGTCTGCTACAGATGGGAGGGATGACAAGTTCCACTTACAGTGTCACTGCACAGAGGCAGAGGACACGTGATGGCAGCTGATTCTTGCAGAAAGATAATGAAGAGATGAGGAGCATCAATTCATGATCTATTTGTTAGGACCCCAGTGAAACAGCTGCTTGTTTCTCATAAACCAATTTGCAACTTGGCATAATTATTTATGTCTTTGCATACTTTTGGGATGGGGAAAAGTAAGGCAGGGATAGCAGGAAAAATCATATGGGAATGAGATCATAGATGCCTAGGGGATCAAATTAAAGAGCATTTTAGGGGGAAGGTAAAGGTGTTGGCAGTAATTAGTTTGCATCTGATTTCAGTGTGTGTACGAGCCTGGATTTGTTGCTGGGGGGAGAGGGGGTGCATCTCCCAGGTGCAGGTTTCAAATAAAAATAAGAATATTGTCAAATGCAGTGTCAGAAGAATGGAGTCAAGAAAAACAGGGATACAGTGCACACTCTCCATGCTCAAAATGAAGCCAGTGCTCCATCTAGCTAAAAGACAGCACTTAATTTTCTCCCCTCTCAGTCATTCCACCCCACTTCCATCACTGAGCGTAGTGGACACTGCCACCCTGCTGCCCTTTGCTCAGACCTATAACCTAGATGCCGTTGTCAGCTGGGGCCTCTCTGTAGGTTATTCCATCTGTGGTTTAGCCTTGTAGATATTTCTGTATAATTACTGTAAGCTGTGGCCTTTCCTACCCATCCACACAATTAAAGCTCTCATTCAGGCTAGGGACAGACATTACACATAAACTGGCTTAAGTGATTAGAAACTGGTTTAAACCTGTAACAGAACAGATGTTCAGTGCACATAAACCAGTTTGAAAATGGCTGAAACCAGTTTGAGATAAACCTGGTTGAATGCAGTATCAGACTTAACTGATTTGGCTCAAACTGGTTTATGCAATGTCTGTCCCAGACCCCTTTCTGGTTTAAGATAAAAACAGACTC